TTTGAAATGAAGAATTCTTCCTCTAATCTTATATTGATGGGATAGGTTTTATCGATTGTACTCCACGTGTCGAGCTTCGATTGATATGAAAAATGTGAATCATATAAACTCGAGTGTCGGAGTTATTAAGGTTTGGTTGGAGAGACCAAATTAAAGGAGGAGTACTCATGACTGAAACCATACACAAAAAAAATAAAGCATTGGGAATGATTGATGGCAGAGCTGAATGGTTTGAAGAGGTTAAGCAGGTTGCATGAGTTATGAACCTGATGAAACAGTACATACTCTTGTGGTCCTCCAAGGTTGGCTGCTCCTGCAGAGTTGGCTTCCATGTTCACCTAACCTAACAATCTACATGATGATATGTTTCATTCCTTGTGCCAGTCTATGACATGGGTGTGTGTTAGAGCAAGGAGGTCAGTAGTAAAAGCTGAACCTTGTGATGCTTGTTGCTTGGTGAACTGGATGGAAAACTTAGGTGCCCTCCTTTGCTGATCGCATTATGACAAAGCTAAATCACTTCTCAACCAGCCACAGAAATTATTCTCTTGATTGTTTCACTCATATTCGATCAAATTACAGTCCGATATATTTTTCTTTTTCATCCAATATTTAATTTTTTTTTTTGAAAACATTAGCTCAAAGTAATGCATACCACTAATTCAACTTAAAATCTTAAGCTCTAATATATATATCATCATATTCTTTCGATCATTAGAAAAAGAAAGAGAATGATTCTATGTCGATAAGAATTAATATTCAAATCGATATATGTTAATTATAACTAGTTTGATTCAGACTGCATCAAATTTCTAATACAATTATCAGCAACAAATCAAATGCTTCCTTCAGAATAATAATAATAATAATAATAATCACTCTTTGAGAAGTAATTTTGTTTTAATCTCCTCAAAGTGATGCCACCACTTACAGGAGGAAGCATCCAACGAGTTGCAGAATGGAAAAAGCAAAGGGAAAGCCATGCTGCTGGCTGCTTGCAGAACGAGTGCAATGGATATATATATGTTCTCCATGGTAATGTTCACATCCCTGCTGACATAACTCGGTTTATAGTTGTCTCCGCATACTTTGGTAATTCCATACAACAGCAAATGCATGGTAACAAGTAATCAGTAGAAGTGTAGTACTGTACGTAGTACACTGTTTGTCAACTTGCCATTATGGATACCAACGTTATTATTTTGTGGAGACTTCTCAGTTGCAGTAACTTGTCAATCTTCAAGATCATACGTTTATTATTTCTGTCAAAATAATTTTTTATTTGAAATTAAAAGGTGATCATAGTGTTGTTCCAAAGAGATCACTTGACAAAAGCGATAGATAGATAGATAGCTAAATCACAACTAGTTTGCAGTCCCATTAGACTCCCTAGAAACAAGTATTAGCTACCATACGGATGCCATCTGAGTTTGTTTTGATCCATCGAAGCCAGCCAGATTAAGTAGGTGGATGGTTTAGAGAGTTCTGATGGGGAAAAGCACTTTGAAGCAACTTCTGAGAAGAAGGTCCCATGCCCCCACCATAAAAAAGCAGGAGAAAAAGAGAGCAGATCGATTGACTCGAGGAGGAGTAGCATGATTTCCTGGGCAAATTATTGTTCGGGCCCCTCCTGTGCCTGCCTTGGGTAGGTCAAACCATAGCACTAAAAGTCAAATGTCTTGTGTACTCACTTCTTCTTCTTCTTCTTCTTCTTTCGTTTCATTTTATCTTTTCAATTCGATCATCACCTAACATTCATACGGTGACGTTTCTATCAGTATTCAGTAGGGGCATGAGATTGTCGAGCCCATAAGCTGCCTTGGTGAAGAAAAACTTTCTTTAATTATTATTATTATTAGAATATTTTCGATAAAATCATATTATATATATTTTTTTATCTCTATCATTCCTCATCCAGTATATTATAATATAACTGTCAGATAACTGTCAAACTGGTTAAAACCCAAACACTTAAAAGAGTGTTTTGAGAGCGGTCTTTTACGTGGCAAGAATCCTATGAAAGAAGACATGCTGCTTTATTCCCTATATGCCTGCTGATGATGCCTCGAATCAGTGCAAGCACATCTCGAGTCTTTGTTGACAAAGAAAGGCATCTTGAGGACCATCACCTCTCTTCCTCTGCTCCCCCACACATTCTTTACTGAGCTGCTGTCACCAAAATTATCTTGCTGATTGATTACCTGCGAACACCAATTCTTCCTTTTGCAGATTCACCGGAAGGGAGATAAATACTCATCACCTTACCGCACCGAAAGCTCTCCTCTGCCTTCTCCTCGACATACCGCAAGGACTCTCATCCAATGGCAGCAGAAACAGGGAGGCTCAACGAACCCATCAAACAGACCCAACGAGTAGCAGCATGCCCTTCTTCCGCGGGATCCCTCCGAGGCTTCTTCTCTTGTGAGCGTCGCCGAGCAGGAGAAGTAAGGAAGAGCAGGCGCAAGAGGATGGGGTGCTCCGGGTCTTTCTGCAGGTCGAAGGATCTTCAGCGGCCCGAGGCGTCGCTACCCGAGCCTTGCAAGAGGCGGGCGTCGGTCAGTGGCCGCACCGCCACCGAGAGATCGAGAAAGATGCCGCTTACTGAGATCAACAATGCGGTCTCCACTCCCTTGGCTTCCGTAGCCGTCTCGCCTGCTTCCGTAGCCGTCTCCTCTTCGTCTTCTCCGCTCGGTGGGTCGTTCCGAGGAATGAACCTGGGGAGGCTCTCCGGCTGCTACGAGTGCCACATGGTGGTGGATCCAATAAATGGGACGCCCAGGTATTCTTCCGTGAGGGCTACCATCTCTTCCTGCCCTGACTGCGGAGAAATCTTCATGAAAGCCGACAGCTTGGAGCTTCATCAGGCCGTCAGACATGCAGGTAGTGTTTGCCTTGTCGACTTCCTCCATTTCTGCATCGATCAAGTAGTAGCTCTTCCCCTGAATGTTCCTTCTTAGTTCTTCATGAACCTTTCTTCTTTTTGTTGTGCTCAGTGTCGGAGTTGGGGCCTGAGGACACCGGTCGGAAAATAGTCGAGATCATATTCCAATCGAGTTGGCTCAAGAAAAGAACACCAGCTTGCAGAATAGAGAGGATCCTCAAAGTCCACAACACTTCCAAGACGATGGCGAGGTTCGAGGATTACCGGGACTCCATAAAGAGCAAAGCCAGCAAGCTCGCGAAGAGGCATCCGAGATCCACCGCCGACGGCAACGAGCTCTTGAGGTTTCACTGCACAACCTTCAGGTGCACCCTCGGCTTGAACGGAGCCACCAACCTGTGCGACTCGATTCCGCAGTGCAGCCTCTGCAGCATCATAAGGGATGGATTCAAAGCGGATGCGGCGGGGAGCATACGAACCATGGCCACGAGCGGGAGAGCGCATGATGCGGAGCACGTCACGTCGGAGAACGAGAGGATTGCGATGCTGGTGTGCAGGGTCATAGCAGGCAGAGTGAGGAGGAGCCAGGAAGCGGAAGAGGAGTACGATTCGGCGGCTGGGATAACTGGAGCTCACTCGAATCTCGATGAGATGTTTGTGTTCAACCCGAAAGCCATTCTGCCTTGCTTTGTTGTAATCTACAGATGCTGATCACTGCAATCGATTGCATATGATTTAGTTCCGACACATATCTTGAGTCGCAATAACAAATATAACTACTTGGATTCATGACTTCCATTTCAGTGTCTCCCAAGTCCCATTCTTATATCAAATAAACATCATCATGTATATATATATATATATATATATATATAAGCATTTTCTGTTTTCACTGAAAAATGCTTGGAGAACTTCCAAACAAAATAAATAGCCTAAAAATCAAATGATGGGTTTTAAAAGATTTACTACTTGTCTGAAGGCATAATAAATAACTAATCAATCAGCATCGAGAAGAAACCTTTGTGATCTGTGCTGTGTTTTTAATCAACGAGGATGAATTAAGCTTGCTCTTTGGTTGGCCAGCCGTATTCGTGTGATCATGGATATAAAATGTAATATGTTGCAGCTTCATATGTTGGTGATCTGATCCTCATACATGTGGGTCTGACCTTGTCTACTTCTGGTACTGATCCATTGCTCTCAGTTACAAAAAAGATTTATTTGTGTTTGTAATGATCTGAAATCCTCCCATGATCAATAAAATCCCTGAGACTGACTCCTCGATGTGTTGCAGTCGCAATCTGCTTTGTTCCTCTCCTGAAATATAAGACGAAAAACATCGTATATGTTTGCTAAAAATTTGCAAGGGCTGTGTTAATAGAAGAAAAAAATTGCTGTAAGATGGAAGATGCAATGTTCCTGAGAGGAAGAACAAAACAAATGAAATGAAGAACTCACTGAGCTGTAAAGAGAGGAGAGGTGTTGCTACTAGTTATTGGTGGGTCACGTTGAAAGCGATGTTGCATCACAGAAGAAGCCACAAGCCAGCTCTCGGGTCCGGTCCAATGGTTTATAGTTTCTCCAGTTGAGTCAGGCGCCAGAGAGACTTCTGGAACAGTGGAACCCATTCATGCTTGGAAGATAGCAATAAGCAACTGCTGTCTCAGATTCCTGATTGAGATTGAAGGTGGATGGCCAGTTTGCATCACTACAAATGACGTTTTTGTCTTCTTGGCTGTACTATGATTGACATACTCTTCGATCAAACATAGATCAATAGGTGAATCCAGGAGGAGGTGAATCACTTTGAGGAAACGTTTGCTCTTGTTCTTCTTAGTTTGGCTCACAGACCAGAAGATGTCATGGATACATGTCTGTAGGCTGGATAGCTTTGTAGTACCTTGAACACTTCCAAGAACTACAAACTCCATGCAATGTCATATTATTGAGTGCATCATGCTCCCACTTCTGAATAGCACTGGATCTTCTTGTTCTTGAGAAAAAACGCACTGCATGGAACCATTTCTGATATAGAGATAAATTAGTCAGAGTGACATACACTAAGTTAAAAGTGAAAAGAAAGACAAAAAATAATCATACATCAGATAGAAGATTTTAAGTATGCAACATCCCATGCCTCCTGAATGATTCCAGCAAGTTTCTTAGTCAGATTATTGAAGATTTTGCTGGGAATATCTGTGATAAAGTCCTGTATCCTTGTAGACTGATGCAGTTGGTAGATTTCATAAGAGCCACGAAGTCTGCAGACCGACAAATTATACTGACGACTTTAATGCTGTGAAATTGCAGTGCAGAATATTCCTAAAGAACAGAGTAGACGTATCAGTGGAAAGAAGGGCAAAGTAGAAGCAATGTCAGCATCATCAGCTTTCATAAATAATGGCTACCTTATAATTGAGAAGACTCAAAAGTTTATCCACATGATGTTGTTCCCTCAAGTAGACCTGAGGTGGATTGCCTTTTACATGAGCATAGCACATCAAAAGTTTTTTGCTGTATGTTTTTCGGAGGCGGCTAGATCTCATGCAACAAAATAACAAACTTACTACATGAGTACATAAAAAGGTGAAAATTTATTAATTCTGAGTCTGCAGTAAAGGTGGTGAAGGATAGAAATCTTTAGCCCATTCTCCAGATACATTCATGCATGTAAATATGGAACTCAGGAAAACATCTTCAATGCCTTTCTTGCAGTCTCAAGTATATTTTTTTATCATCAGGATGACTTGTTGGATTGGTCCCAAAGCAAATGGCTGACAAAATTATTTTCTGATTCTGCAGTTAGACCGGCATTGTCAGTGTGAGCTAGAGAGATGGGATATCAGATAAACCCAGAAATCATATTTCATGACATATTTTGTACAACTCAGACTTGTACAACACATCATATTTCATTATATATGACGAAACTTCAATGAAATATAACAATCATTCAAGAATACCTAAAACTTGTATGTAAAACATGAGGGTGTTACCCAGACTCGCTTAAGCAAGTCCCACGCTAGCCTCACACATTCAACTGGAGTAGCAACTATAGGAGCAAGACTGAATAAGTGAGGTTCAACTGTGTGGGCAATCACAGATGGGAGACTAGCCCCAAGGCTCACTCAGGTGGCACGCACCAGACCCTTATGTAGAAGACGCGTTCTAAAGCTATATATATTTTAGAAATACATCAAAATATTTTTGAAAACATCCAACATATCTGAAAAAATCTGACCAGTATCAGTGTTCATCATGAAGACAAGTATTGTTCAGTGCCCATGATTCGTAGCAATTGAACAATATAATGAACATTGCATAAACCAAAAGCTATGTAAATCGACTCTCATCAAATTGTTTGACTGTAAAGGACTAGATGACAATATAATGAACAATGCTTAAGTTCAAGAGCTGTGTAAATATACTCAGAACAAACATCAACCTGTTTGATTGTAAAGGACTAGATGATGGAGATGGTTTAACTCATGATGAGGAAATCTAACCAAAAAGCAATGTATTTATTTACCTATGAAATTGTCAGATTTGTTAATTACCAAATTCACTTCTGTTTATACTTGTTATCTTAAAATAAAAAATTTTCAAGTTTGTTGACAGATTTAACTGTTTACCAGAGAGTTGGACAGTGAAAGGGAAGCAAACTCGCATTTTATCTAATTCTTCTGATAATTAAAATTTTACATATTGGAGCTCAAGTGAAAGCTTTTACAGAGGGCTTTTGGAATACTTCTGCCAGTGTAAAAAAGAACAAACTATTGTCAGTATATGTACAATAGTAGTGAAAAGAAGCAGGCACAATCTATTAAATTTCCAAGTAAAAAGTGTAGTGATTACTTTAGAGAATAAAAATCATAATTAATAGCTTCTCGTCTTTCGTTCTCAGTGTTCGATCTCACATCATCTTTCTTGGACTTAAACTTGGATGCCACACTATACATCAAACCAATCATTAAATGAAAAACATGCAAGGCTGACATAGACTTGCAATAAGGTTGCTTGTATTGAAACTAATGCATATGCAGAACTAATCAGTTTTAGAGTCTAAACATTTTTGCGGAAGTTGTTCTGGTATGTGATAGTGCTTGTTAACCATTGGCAGGATCCTAGATTCCACAAGGCATTATACAATTTTCCCCACAGGTGTCATTTTTTTGTCTAAAAAGTTTTGGTTTTACAAAACAAGGGATCCAATAGTACTGAAGATTAACCTATACTTCGGTTGATAGGGAGGGTCTGCTAATCAACATATAATTTTTTTCATCAGAGAGCTAAAGATGTTCTTTGTAACATATCTCAAAAGAAATTAAAAAACATCCACATTTAACATTTCCTTTTAGACAATTAAACAAAAGACAAAGAAAACAACCCAGTGTGACTAATTAACAAAGTGATTTGATTACAAAACAATGGAACTGAAGATGGTGCATACAGCTTGACCTACAAAATGACCATAACAATAATCTTGATAGCTCCATTATGAATCCAAAAGTAAAAAAAGGAAAAGAATCCAACCGCAGACTGCACCACAGGAATGAAATTGACCAGAAGCAAAGGAAGATTTGAAAAGAAACAGCACAGATAACGTTAGAGCAGTAGGCTTTACCTCGATACAGTCTCCTTGTTCTGCAACTCCTGTGCTGTTTTTTCTGGCATGCTTCAGGGCCAAAATAATCTCTTTGACATCACTGAATTGCAATAACTTTAGATGGATTTGCATGATACAAGGAATTGAAAGAATGAGAAGATCAAGCAGAAGAGCTCCAAGGTCTGACCTGGATAGATCGAGGTATTGATCCGAATCATCAAGTTTTCTCTTCTTCTCCAATGTGAGGCTCCCCGGAGTAATTTCCCTTTCGCTTGGCGCTCCGAGATAATAGCTTAGTAATTGCGGATTATGAGCCATAATTGTGGCTCTGTATCAATGAAAGGGACTGCCGAAGAAGGTGACATTATACTAGGATAAACACAGCTGTGGAACAATGATTCTATAGTCCTATTGCCAACTCACTGGTGCCATATAAGAAGCATATTTTGTTATTAAGCAGAAATGAGCGGAACAATGAACAACAGGATCATGATAAATTCAATGTTTTAATAGAATTAGGCTCAACATTAACAAAGTCGAACATAGTCTATTACATTTCACTTGCTAAATTTTACATTCTTTTGATACGCCCAAAATAAATCTCAGAACCACAATGTGCGAGCTTTGACTGGAAACCAAACAGATGTACTCAACGGGATTTAATAGAATCATCATCAACATTCATCATCTCCCTTGGCATAATTTATTATATTTCACTTAAATTACAGGAGCTATTTTTTTAATTCACCCAAAATAGATCAAAGAACCACTTTATTGGAAACCAAACAGATGTAATCCAAAGGAGTTGAACATAAAATACATTACTTCAGAACAAGATCAAACCTGATTCATCTGACCAGGCTACACAAAGTAACAATCTAAATCCACAAAGTTTGTAGTTAGTTCCCTCCGAAATGGAAATAGAGTGCCCGCAGTTGTCCATAACTCAGCAGTACAAGAAGATTACAGTGGGAAATTATTGAAATGTAGCACGAGTCTAGCAATGTGACTCTTATCTGTGGAAGTCCTGTATTAGATCACATTATAACCACAAAAGTTGACCAATTTATGTTATCATTTTCCATGAAAAATATAGAGGAAGCACAGGTAACATGGTGCCAGCTACTCCTTAGTCTGCTCGGGACTGACCAGCACGAGAGGAAAGGATGATGCCAACAATGAGACCATAGAGGGCAAGAGCTTCCGCAAAGATGAGAATCAGAATCATTCCTACAAACAGTTTTGGCTGTTGTGCGTTGGCTCTGCAACAATGTAGTTAAATGGCAAAACAAGTTCAGTTTAAATATATTATTATTAGACTATTTAAAGATCCATCAGAATGATCCTTGTATGTAAATTACTTAATAGATCATAAAAGCTCCGCATCACACAGCAGGAATGCTTTGGTATTATGTATACCCAGAAAAAGATCAGTCGAAACTGCAGCCACATTAATAACAGGAAAAACACATCCAAGTGGATCAAATAACTACAGACACATAAATGCCAGCTTTCTTTGAATGTTAAGCAACTAGCATCCATCACATTATTGTATACATATATCTTCTTTTCTTTGAGGTGCACAGAGTGTTTATACTAAGACCAAAATGTGCAACCATGTTCAGTTGACAGTTATTTGAGTTGTACTTTAAGTCTACTTCACGTTTAGACCCGATATTGCTTGGATCAGGCCTGAGTCATTAGATCAATCCGATATATGTTTTAAGTGTACTTCAGGTTTAAGTCTGATGTTGCTCAGTGCAATTTTGTGATGAGCAGAAAATAGATCAGGTCTGATTCGGTTTTAGAATTCAGTCTAGTGTTACTTTTGCTAGAATTAGGAGCCAAAGTCATTGTCGGGATGTACTGCCACTGATTAAAAAGAAACAGCCTAGTTGTACAAAGTAGCATATAGGCAGCCCCATGGTAGAAAAACAAAAGAGGAAGTCAAACTTGACAGAGAAATGTGATCTGCTGGAATCGCTATTATAGGATAGACAGTTGTTTATCATCTAACCAAAGAAGCTAACATATTGGGGGTAGGAGTTCAAAGAAAATAACAGAATTTGTCCAATATTTCCTTATTTATTTCATGAAAATTTCGGTTGTTCTAGTCTAGTTCCGGTGGTTTCTGCCAACACTGATTAGTTTCAGTAAAAAATTTCTATTATGGATACTGTTATTGACTTTGTTTGTACAAGTTTTTTTTACAAGTTAGAAATGAAGATTTGAATAACAAGTTTAAGCATTTTTAAGTCTACAAAAAATAGGTGCATAAGCAAGCAATATGTTTATTGGTTATTTTATCAAGACTGTAATTTGCATTAAAAGTTTTGAAATTACATAAACAACATACTGTAGTTGTATAGATGTAGCACCCAATACAAGACATTTGTATTTGTTCTTATTTAAATATATCACAAAAATAAAACTATTCACAGAATATCAATATCAATGATTTGGTAATAATGTCATCTTCTTGAGACACAAGATGAAGGTCCCGCTAGATGAAAGCTATACTACTGCACATTTGTATGCTTTCTGTGATTCAGCCAAAAATTAATGAATGCTGGAAACATTTTTCCTGCAAACAACGTGCTCTTTGAAATTTAATTTGATTCTTTTCCCCATGGTTATGAAATCTTATAGGACTTTCAATCTTGTTTTGTTTCAATCTCCTCACCACTCTCCCTCCTTATGCACAACAGCCACCTACGACCCCCAATAGCATAGTCGTCCGTCGTCACCGAAAACATAATTGAGATATTAAAATTATCTTTTTGTCCATCGTATTCGTGCTTTCGTCGGTAAAACCAACGAAGTTAGGGTAAATGGAGTTGGATGTTTCACTTTCATAACTATATTGATTCCAACATAAATTTTTTAAATTTATCATAATATGCAATTAGCCCACTAAATTAGCCCACTAAATGTGGTAATATGTAATTAGCCCACTAAATTATCATGATATGCAACAAAATAGAGGCATCATTGATATGTAAATTATCACGTTGTGCAACATAATAGAGGCAGCACCGGACACACCTAATTAATGATAGCAATCATTTCCTAGAGACATACACATAAGAAATAAATGCTCAAGTAAGCAAAAATTAACACACAACGAATGGAACTGCTCTCAGATCTGGAGAGGCAGAATAGGAAAGCGAAAGAGATACCTGACTCCAGCATCACCAACGATCCCGATCGCCATCCCCGCCGAGAGTCCTGCAAGGCCACACGCCAGGCCGGACGAGAGGTGCGCGTACCCATCGAAGAGGTAATATGACTTGGCCTTAGGGTTGATCCCGGTGCTTATGATAACAGCGATGATGAGACCATAGATCCCAAGCACTCCAGCCATGACGACGGGCACGATCGATTTCATCACGAGTTCCGGCCGCATCACGCCCATCGACGCCACCCCGACGCCGCTCTTTGCCGTCCCGTACGCCGCCCCCATGCCTGCAGCGCACGAAAGCCAACAAAAAACCATTCAACAAAAGCACTCCCGATGGTGAAACAAGCCCGACGATGAGATCAAAATCCAAAAAGGGATTAAAATTGCGAGAAATTACAGGAGAAAACGAGGGCCGCCGCGGCGCCGAGGAATCCGAAGAAGGGAGCGGTTTCGTCGCCACTGAAGGTCGACATCCTTGCGGGGATTTTGAGGAACCCTAATTGCTCTTCGAGGAGGGAAGGAAGAAGAAGCGGAGGGCGACGGATCGGAAACGGATGAAAGGAGCATTCCACTGGATCAGAGATAGGGTGTTATTGTTATACAATACCCTCAGCGTGCCACATAATTACGACATTATCATATACTTACAAACTTTGTCATGGGTTATTTCGTCATTTAATATTGGCTTTCTGTGTTGAGTATGTAATATAAATATTGCAGATAGTTGAGTGGAATTTGTCAGATTTATCCCGATCTAACGACTCAAATTAAAAGTCTCCTACAAAATATACATATTTTATGTATTTTTCAATCGATACCTTTTTCTTTTATTTTTTTAAACAATATTTCTAATTCAAAAAAATTAATATAATGTTACTTATCGTATTTTTCTGATTATGTTTATAATATTTACAATATCTCAATAAAAAATACTGTAAATTCTATTAAAAATACTATAAACAATGCTAATGAAAACACCATAAATAATTTAAAACTGATAAAAATAGATAAAAAAATTTGACGAAAATATTTTTTATGGTATTTAGGCATTTTTCAAATTAGGGGCACTGTTTATGAAAAATAAAATGAGGGATAACGATTGAAAAATATTAAATATATAGATATTTTTGGAAAAT